AGTAAAATGAAAGCAAGAAAAGAATCCATAGTTAAATTACACATGGATGCAAGCAAAACAATTAATTACAAGACTATGCAGAAACTACAGAAAAAAAAATCACCAGAGAGCAGTGGGAGATATCATTGGAGCAGAAATGAGTACTGTACCTCAGTGTGAGGAGAGAAGCAGACGGATAACATGAAAATGGCATTGCAAGTAATGCCAAACCCCAATGAAAACTGCTACACAGCCACATCAGGAGGATAATAGTGGCCTTCCTCTGGCCCCAAGCAGGATCTAATCCTTCTGTGTCCCACCCCACATCCCTCCAAATACCTGGTACCTACCCCAAAGGACAAACATACCCAAATAGCTCAGCCCATTGAACAACTTCCTACACCAATGGGGAAAGCTTGTTATAATGGACATAAGCAAGCTTTTAGATAATATACGCAAACATTAATGGATTACAAATAAAGTGAGTGAACTGAACAAAAGAACACAAGAAGAAAACCCAGATGTAATAGCAGTCACAGGAACAAAATTGTCAGGCATCACAACAAATGCAGAGTTTTTGCATGACTACTATATAGAAAGAAGAAAGAGAGAGGAGAGGCCCTGCTATAAGGAAAGCAACCATTAATATAATAAGAGAACAGCTTCCGTTGCCTGCAGAAACGGATGCAGACTTTTAACCATGAGGAATTTTAACCATGGAAAAATAGATTGCGAGAATAGAGAACAACATGCAGGTGCAGATACATGGAGCTGAACTATTGTACGTGGCAACAAGAAACTTTGTGAGCCAGCATTTCAAAGGACCCACATGAATGACAGACAGAATGACGAACCAGCTAGACTCAATCTGATATTCACCCTGAATGAGTCAGATATAAGGAAAGTCAAATTAGAAACCCCCAGGGGAATGAGTGATCACTGTGTATTGACATTTGAGTATCTGGTAGAAGTAGGGATAACATATCAAAAGATTGGATCAGAATGGAAAAGGCAGGCTAACCACAGAGAAAACTATGATGAGATGAGGAACTTCCTAATAGGGAATACCAAGGAAAATAGAACTTAGAGAAAAGACTGTACTAAATATGATTGACTATACTGTATCACCCAGAAGTGCCAGTAAGCTGCAGACAATTTTAAAGTTTATCCTAGCCCAAAAAGAGAAAAATGAAAGAAAGAAAAGTATCCATAGTTATATCACACATGGATGCAAGCAAAACAATTAATTACAAGTCTTTGCAGAAACTACAGAAAAAAAAAATCACCAGAGAGCAGTGGGAGATATCATAGGAGCAGAAATGAGTACTGTACCTCAGTGTGAGGAGAGAAGCAGACGGATAACATGAAAATGGCATTGCAAGTAATGCCAAACCCCAATGAAAACTGCTACACAGCCACATCAGGAGGATAATACTGGCCTTTCTCTGGCCCCAAGCAGGATCTAATCCTTCTGTCCCCCACCCTACATCCCTCCAAATACCTGGTACCTACCCCACAGGACAAACATACCCAAATAGCTCAGCCCATGGAACAACTTCCTACACCAGTGGGGAAAGCTTGTTATAATGGACATAATCAAGCTTTTAGATAACATACGCAAACATTAATGGATTACAAATAAAGTGAGTGAACTGGACAAAAGAGCACAAGAAGAAAACCCAGATGTAATAGCCTGGTTGATACCTGGTTGATGGGGTTCTGGGAGTTGTTCTACTCCCCAAGGCCGGCCTGAGGCCAGGCTTGACTTGTGAGTGTTTGGTCCACTAGGCTGTTGCTTGGAGCGGCCCGCAGGCCCACATACCCACCACAGCCCGGTTGGTCTGGCACTCCTTGGAGTGCCGGACCATAGCGCTCACAGGAACAAAATTGTTAGGCATCACAACAAATGCAGAGTTTTTGCATGACAATTATATAGAAAGAAGAAAGAGAGAGGAGTGGCCCTGCTATAAGGAAAGCAACCATTAATATAATAAGAGAACAGCTTCCGTTGCCTGCAGAAATGGATCCAGACTTTTAACCACGAGGGATTTTAACCATGGAAAAATAGATTGCGAGAATAGAGAACAACATGCAGGTGCAGATACATGGAGAGCTAAACTATTGTACGTGGCAACAAGAAACTTTGTGAGCCAGCATGTCAAAGGACCCACATGAATGAGAGACAGAATGACGAACCAGCTAGACTCAACCTGATATTCACCCTGAATGAGTCAGATATAAGGCAAGTCAAATTGGAAACCCCCAGGGGAATGAGTGATCACTGTGTATTGACATTTGAGTATCTGGTAGAAGTAGGGATAACATATCAAAAGAATGGATCAGAATAGAAAAGGCAGGCTAACCACAGAGAAAACTATGATGAGATGAGGAACGTCCTAATAGGGAATACCATGGAAAATAGACCTCAGAGAAAAGACTGTAAACAAAATATTATTGACTATATCACCAAGAAGTGCCAGTGCCAGGAAGCTGCAGACAATTTTAAAGTTTATCCTAGCCCAAAAAGAGAAAAATGAAAGCAAGAGAAGAATCCATAGTTTAATCAGACATGGATGCAAGCAAAACAATTAATTACAAGAATGTACAGAAACTACAGAAAAAAACAAATCACCAGAGAGCAGTGGGAGATATCAGAGGAGCAGAAATGAGTACCTCAGTGTGAGGAAAGAAGCAGAGGGACAGCATGAAAATGGCATTGCAAGTAATGCCAAAACCCAATCAAAACTGCTACACAGCCACATCAGGAGGAAAATAACAATAAAGGAACAAGTGATAGACTTAGAAAAGGGGAGAACAGATACATAAAAAATTATAAGGTGGTGTGTGAAAAGCTTAAGAAATTCTTGGAGGTGAAAGATTTTCTGTACTGAAAGGATGCGGTATACCAAGCAATTTTGGAGAAATTTGAGTTTATCAGAGATGTCAAAAGGAATCTGTTGGAGATAAATGTGACCAAGGCTGTTGTGCCTGATGGAATCTCACCATGGATACTAAAAGAGATAGCAGAAGCACTGTGTGGCATTTTCTATGGTGCATAACAGGTCACTGGAAGCATGAGACCTACCAGAAAGATGGTTAATGTAATTTGACTATACAAAAAGAGTGACTGGCAAGAGGCACTGAACTATAGGCCAATTTCTCTATCTTGTATACCATGTAAGGTGACGGAAAAGATCCTGAGGAAAAAGCTCGTAAAACATCTGGAAAGAAAGAACTTTGTAACAAACCAACAGCATGGGTTTAGGGATGGTAAATCGTGCCTCACAGATTTAACAGAATTCTATGACCTGGCGACAAAAGTTAGACATAAAAGAGAAGGGTGGGTAGATTGCATTTTCTTAGACTATCAGAAAGTCTGTGACACAGTACCCTATAAGAGGCTGTTACAGAAGTTGGAGAAACAGGCAGAAATAAAAGGTAAGGTGCTCCAATGGACACGGGAGTATCTAAGCAACAGAAAGCAGACAGGTATCGTGAAGGGAAAAGACTTCAGAATGATATGTCACCAGCAAAGTCCCACAGGACTCTGTACTTGAAACCATCCTGTTTCTGATATATGTAAATAATCTTCCAGAGGGTATAGAATCATTCCTCTCAATGTTTGCTGATGATGCAAAAATTATGATTAGAATCAAGACAAGATAGAGACTAGAAGACAACCAGGACAAACTGGAGGAATTGTCTTGAAAATGGCTTCTAAAGTTTAAATCAAAGAGATGTAAAGTAATGAAATTAGGTGAAGGGAGCAGGAAGCCAAACACAAGGTACCATCTGGGAGGTGAAATCCTTCAAGAGTCAGGTAGGGAGAACAATTTTGGGTTGATATCACATTGAACCAGTCCCCAGAAGCCTACATCAAGAGATTATCATGAGCAGCATACGCTAGATTGACCAACACAAGAACTGCCTTTATAAACTTGTGTAAGGAATCATTCAGAACCTTGTATACCACTTATGTCAGACCAATCCTGGAGTATGCAGCTTCAGCCTGGAGTCCATGCCTAGTTTAACACAAGACAAAGATTCAGAGGTACCATACCTTGCGTTGATTCTGGGGGTCAAGGTTCCTGCGACCCGGTCTCTGACCAGGCTGTTGGACACAACTGCTCACAGCCTGAATGCCACCAGACTAGTCCTAGAGCTGAGAGGTATGAGTTACGAGGAAGGCTATGGGAATTAATCCTCACATCCCTGGAAGACATAAGAATTAGGGGATACATGATCACCACCTACAAAATTCTCAGAGGAATTGACAGGGTGGACAAAGACAAACGATTAAGCATTGGCAGAAATTGGACAAGGGGACACAAGTGAATACTTTGTACTCAAATGAGCCACAGAGATATTAAAAAAAAAAATTTCAGTGCCAGGGAAATTAACAAATGGAATGCACTAGACAGTGATGTGGTGGAGGCAGATTCCATACACAGTTTCAAATGGAGGTATGATAGAGCCCAATAGGCTCAGGAACCTGTACATCAGTTGATTGGCAGTTGAGAGGTGCGACCATAGATCCGAAGCTCAACCCCCAAAAGCACACCTAGGTGAATACTTCATGAATGCATTAGGCTAGGTTTAATGCAAGTCTATATGAATGGTGAGGTTATTCTGGGTATGTGATATCTTGACTTGAGACTAATGTAACACAATACCACTGACATGCAGAGCACTTCCCCACAGACTACAGCTTAAAGTATCATCAGCTGCAAAACACAGAACACACTTCAAGTGCTCACATCCCATACAACCAGAAAAGGACTGCCTTTTAACAAGTCAAAACTCCTTTTTCCCAAACATATAAAATACAAAACTCATTTCCAGTGATGATTCTCTCCACACGTTTGATAGCCACCCGCAAGGTAATTTTCCTAGGTGGCGTGGGTGCTTCCCTGAATCTCAATTGCACACATCAACATCCATAACGAAATGTTCACTCCCTTCCCATGGCTACAACTACTAGCATGTAGCCCCCAGTACATCAATACAGCATGTGTTCTTACCTTCCTAAGCTCAGAGTCATCGGTGACTACAGTCGGCCTCGATTTATATTTCTGCCTTGCCCTCCCCATTATAAATCCGATTCGTGGGGGACTTCTAGCAGGACTCTAGATATGTTACACTCCTTCCTCTTTCCTATGATAAGTGCACTTAGTGTGGAAACTTCTCCAAGCGATGCCGGTGAGTGCCAGAACGGGATTGGAAGTTTTCAGAACTTCAGAGGTGCCACAGATGGACCTTCCACATGGGTTTATTTACTACTGGTGGTGCCCGGGCCGGCGACACGCTGCCTCTGTCGCCACTTTTTCCAACTGCTTAGCCGAATCATTAATATTTAATCATGTTTTCATGTTTATACCATGTATATACCATATATAACTCATGTTGATACGATAAAAAAGATTTAATTTGATTAAATATATTTTCTTATTTGCGAAACTGATTTAATGTCGCATCAGAGTTAATAATCCTTACACGAATGAATAATATGATCGGTAATACTTTTATATGTTCAGATTTTTTTATAAATTTATGCATTCATTTTTTATTATATGCATAAATTTGATTGTTAAAATAATTAGGATATTTAATATTCTAAAGCTTGAAGAGTATCATCAGACTGACTGATGGTTCACAGATTTCAATGGAGAAAATATCTGCTTTCAGATTCGCTTCAATTTTTCGAAAATGTTCATAGAAAAAGCGGAGCTATACGTATATACAATATTTGAAACATATAATAAAAATCGACATCTTTTATTGATGAAATATATACCAGCGACATCACTATAAATACACTGAAATATAATATTCTCGTTTGTTCCAGGATAAGTTGGAGTGAAACATCGAGATATTTACCTGAATTTAAATGAGAACCGCCAAGTGGCGACGACGGGATATTTAATTGTCTTTTATTATTAACAAACATAGCTGCACAGCACTGTGCTGTGACCCTTTGTCTGTATGTAGGGGTTAGAGATTGTTAGTCAAGTTGACCTAATATTAAAATCACGTAGGATGGTTGATCATGTATGGGCTGTGAGCACATAGTATGCGTCTACATCTACTAGTATGCGTCTACGTCTACATCTTCTGTAGTATGCGTTGGGGAGCTGTCAAATCGTATATATTCATTTCGGATACCGTCGGTCAAGTACGAACGAAGTAACAAGTTTATACCCCATACCCATTCCTTGGGCGGTGGTGTAAAGAACTTAGGCTATTTCTATTCCCCCTAAAATTCTAGCCAAATGCGATTACTGATTACTGCCGCTCCTGTCTGGCGAGCAATCCAATGTGTGTTGTCCTTATACATAGTTCTCGGCTCTTAATCACATGACAACTATCAATATTAGTGCTTTCTGCACACTGTCAGTGGTTGCTCTTCCGTCAGAGAAGAGCATTTCATTTATTCCATCTGGTTACAATTTTTTTGCCATGTCGTAGCTCAGTCGATTAAGGCAGCGTCTGGGATGCTCTCGGACGTAGGCTCGAATCCTCGTCACGGCCCTTGTGGATTTGCTAATTTTATTGAAGGTTTAATTGCCTAAAACGCTTTTTGCGTAATAGTGGCTTCATTAGTTTATGTAACTCCTGTCCCCACAAATGTGCATTACTATTATGTTCTTTGCACACATATTTTTTAATAAAAATGAGATTAGAACTAGCTAGTTTCTTGAATTTATTGTGTCGGAGGACAGGTAGCCAGAGCTGTCCTCCGACAGGAACCTCTATAAGCCTACTTATTTATGTATTTTATTTATTTATTTATTTATATACAAGAAGGTACATTGGGGGTTACCAGAGAACATAGAAATTAAGTTGATTTTACATTCTTGTAAAGCCACTAGCACGCATAGCGTTTCGGGCCAAACGCCAAATACTTGTTAAGACTTAAATCGAGATGAATGCAACCCAACAAGAATTAGCTAATTAACTGATGAGTACCTACTTCCTACTTGCAGCTAGGTGAACAGGTTTATTAGGTAACAAGAAATAAGCAGAATCATTTCTGCCCCGCCCGGGATTCTAATCAATTTTGCCCCGACCGGGACTCGAACCCGGAATTCTCGATTTTAAGTCGCGAACGAACCCCCGACTGTACTATACAGCTAAACGACTGTACTTCAGGGACTCTTAGCAGTGTGCTGGCATCGACAGACTGAGATACGTATGTCTAGTTGCCTTGTTAATCGTGCCTAGACAAGTCTTGTTATATTCATGCAATGAATTACGCTGCGCCGGGATAACTCGGGCCACTTCTCCGGGCGTGTAAATGCGAATTAGCTGAGTAATAATATGAGCCCCGGTAATATATTCAAACTGCATATTACTATTGAATGCAAGTCTCTGTTAGTCATTAGTGTGATATCCTGCAACAATAAGATCATATGCATATTCATACCAGGCATCACAATATGATTATAAAAAGAGTACTGAAATTCCGACAAGCCAGTCCGTAGAATTACCAGTGCATCCTAACATAGCGTAAGTAAAGATGTATAACATATTTGATTGCTATAACGTTCATGCTGAATGTATAACGTGAAATAAACTCATTTTATAATGAAATATAGCGAAAATAGGTGGCAGGTGACTCCAAAGGAAGGCAATCTATGCGGCTGTTGTGGAGCGACTTATCCAAGGCAATATATGTACTATACATATATAGGTGTTTTTATTTAATGGAATTCATATTAACAATAGCGAAATTAGTAACCAAACATCTAAGATTATTAACAAATGTGTTGAAGTTAAATCGGCTCCACAGGATTATGGTTTTGTTATATGGGGTATGGTCATTTCGGACTCAAGCCGATTCAATGAAACTCATCTTGTTTGTAAAACTATATTGCTATGTCAGGCTGTATTAGCTTTGATTAGGCTATATTAGTTTAGGTTAGGCTATATTAGCTTAGGTTACGCTATTTTTGCTTAGGTTAGACTCTGATTTGCTTAGGCTAGGCAATATTTGCTTAGGTTAGGCAATATTTGCTTAGGCTAGGCAATATTTGCTTAGGCTAGGGTATATTTGCTTAGGCTAGGCTATATTTGCTTAGGCTAGGCTATATTTGCTTAGGCTAGGCTATATTTGCTTAGGCTAGGCTATATTTGCTTAGGCTAGGCTATATTTGCTTAGGCTAGGATATATTTGCTTAGGCTAGGATATATTTGCTTAGGCTAGGATATATTTGCTTAGGCTAGGCTATATTTGCTTAGGCTAGGCTATATTTGCTTAGGCTAGGCTATATTTGCTTAGGTTGGGCTATATTTGCTTAGGCTAGTCTATATTTGCTTAGGTTGGGCTATATTTGCTTAGGCTAGGCTATATTTGCTTAAGCTAGGCTATATTTGCTTAGGTTAGGCTATATTTGCTTAGGTTAGGCTATATTTGTTTTTTAGGCTATATTAGCTTAGGTTATGCTCTTTTGCGGTCTGTTAGGTTAGGTTTCAAAATCTGTTGGTGAATAGTCTTGCGAATAGTGTAACTTGTATCCTTGTTATATGAATATTGATTATTATTCGTTGCTTGCACTGCTGCTTTAATGCTTGGATGAAAATATTAAAATATTTAGATTACATGTAGTAAGCACAGTATTTGATTACATTAACACTATATATACAGAAATTACAGTTAAGGTTCGTGTGGAGTAAAATATTCATGTGTGAAAAGCAAATTTTTATAGAGTGCAGTATTAGTCATTAAATTCGCTTGATAGCTTCATATTATAAAAAAGTAATTTCTTTCATCATTTAAAAATCTGCTTCCTTATTTTGTTCAAATTTGTCATTAAGGTTAAAATGAATGGATCTGTTCTGACAATTGTGATAATGCATGCTTCTGTAATATTTGTATAATTTGTTTCATAAAATCTTCAGTTAAATTATTTGAAGCACATTCTCTTTCCTATCTAGTTTATTTCTCCTATTAATCTTTAAAACCATAAACAAATTTGCATTGTCAATAATTTATCTAGTAGTTTAGCAGTAAAATGGGCAGTATATAGTACATATGTATTAATTATCTTGTTACATATAGATATGTATTAGAGACATATCTATACAATACATAGTACTTTATTAGAATATGCAGGGACCACAGCATTGACATGTTGAAAGCATTGAATTGCATAAGGAGTGTTTCATTAGCATACATAGTGAGCACAGCAATGGTATGCATATGCAGCACAGCACTGACATTTATAAGGCTTTGACATGTATCTGGAGTGCATCATTGGCATGCATAGAAAGCATAGCATTTACATGTGTAGAAAGCCTTTTCTCTTTACATATTGTCATGCATATAGAATGCAGTACAGTATTGGTCTATATAGAAAGCAAACAAGTGGCATGTGTAGAAAACACAGCATATGCATGTGTGGAAAGCGCAGAATTAGCATGTTTCGAAAGCACAGAATTGGCATGTGTAGAACATATAGAATTGGCATATGTAGAGATCTTTGATAAAGTACTAAATGTACTGTACTGTGCATTCTACACATACCAATTCTGTGCTTTCTACGCATGCCAATTCTATATTTTCTACGCATGCCAATTCTATATTTTCTACGCATGCCAATTCTATATTTTCTACAAATGCCAATTCTATATTTTCTACAAATGCCAATTCTATATTTTCTACAAATGCCAATTCTATATTTTCTACAAATGCCAATTCTATATTTTCTACAAATGCCAATTCTATATTTTCTACAAATGCCAATTCTATATTTTCTACAAATGCCAATTCTATATTTTCTACAAATGCCAGTTCTATATTTTCTACACATGCCAATTTTGTGCTTTCTACACATGCCAATCCCGATCACAGGATTGGCATGTGTAGAAAGCACAAAATTAGCATGTGTAGAAAATATAGAATTGGCATGTGTAGAGAGCACAGGATTGGCATGTATAGAAAGCACAAAATTGGCATGTATAGAAGATATAGAATTGGCATTTGTAGAAAATATAGAATTGGCATTTGTAGAAAATATAGAATTGGCATGTATAGAAAGCACAAAATTGGTATGTGTAGAATGCACAGTATTAGCATGCATAAAGAGCACAGTATTGGCTGCATAAAAAGCACAGTATTGGCATGCATAAAAAAGCACAGTATTTGCATGAATAAAGAATACAGTATTTGCATGAATAAAAAGCACATTATTGGCATGAATAAAAAGCACAGTATTGGCATGCATAAAAAGCACAGTATTGGCATGAATAAAGACCACAGTACAGTATTGGCATGAATAAAAAGCACAGTATTGGCA